GAGAGGGTGAAGGGCGAAGGTGGTCTTCGGAGGTGAAGGGCGCTGTGTGGGTAACAAGGGAGAGTGTGGGGAAGAGGACACGTACCTGGTGGAGGTGGAGGTCGGCAYTGGTGTTGACATCATCACTGGCTGGTAGTCAAGTTGTCTGGTTGCTTTCATTGCTGTAGTTGTAGGCTAGGCTGTAGAGTAGATAGGGCGCCTGGCGCCATTCACAAGAGAGAGCTACATTTTGGTTATGCTGTTGGTGTTGCCCTGTTGGGCATGGACATTGACTCACGATTCTTCTGTATCATTCTCAATGGGATGGTTACTCGGTTCCATGTGCTATCTGCTTTGGCTTTGACTACTTGGACTTCAGTGTGATTTTGCATTCTGGATTTCTGTGCTTCGTCCATATTCATGTTCCTTGCACCTGGCTGTCATCGCCGTCCTGTCTGCGACGTTCAATAATTCCTAAGGACTTTGGGGGCTGTCCTTAAATTCCCTCTTGATCAGCCAGGTTGTCGGAGTAAGGCTCGCTGCACGCGAGGATAAAGAAAGCGCAGAGCTGGCCATAAACGGGTTCATGGGCCGATAAGCACACCTTAGACACTGCTGCTTGATGATGCAAAACAGGATCGTCGGATACAAGGGAGGGAAGGTTCCAATTGGTGCTCGCACACAATCATTATTATGTCCATTCTGCATGCATCTGCGCAAGTGATTTTATTTTTATTTTGACGAGTTGAGGTGTTTACAGACTGCTGACACCTGACAGACAGCAATCGAGTAGTACTGTAGAAGTCTACCATTGTCAGTCCTGCTTATTGCTGCTGTTCGAGAACTGATCAAAGTAGAAGCAGGATCATTTGTGGAGTCTGTATATTTTCTGTTCACACCGCCTGAACTGCGTTCTGATAATCGGATCGAATATTTATTTATTTATCTTTCAAGTCGGCCAGATCCTATGCTGTGGTAGGTCCCCAACGAGGACACTAGTGCAGACAGTGGTCTGCTATAGTTGATGAGCGGATATAGTCCTCAGGAGGAGAGAGCTGATGTCAGGGGCTGACAAGGCGCAGTACCATTAGGGAGCTTGCTGTGTACAGGTCTTACTACCATGTAGGGAAGGTACTGTGTGCAGAAAGCAGAGGGCAGCGTTGGGTCTGGGAGGCAGCAGCAGCAGCGGAGCAGGCAACAGCAAGGGATGCTGCAGCAGCCGCGGCCACGTGGGCCTTGCCAACAGGCCCTGCAAACTGTGACACGGCCTTCCTTCATATGTGTAGGTTAGACAACAGTCTCGTGTCAGATGACTGGCTCGCAGTTTAGCCAGCCACTCCAGCTCCCTCAGGCCGACCTGGAGATTCAGGAGGCATTACACATCCGGATTCAGCTACAAGCCGAAGTTAGTGACGCAGAGGACAGGGAAGCCATACTAGCGAGTAGGGGAGACAATGACGAGGCTAGGCCAGAGGGAATGGGTGAGAATGGCTCTGCAGGCATGCAAAGTAGGCATGTAGGATTCCAAGTCCGCGTGGGAGAGAACGGGGACATCTTTCCTTTCCGGCCAGGTTCTGATACAGAGGGTGCACAGAAGGAATGGGAAAATGTTTCCATCCTTAGGTACGCTGCCGAGTGTCAGGACTGCAAGGCAGCCTATGCCTGTCTCACCGTCGATGCTGAGAGTGTCGCCGGTGTCAGGTCTTTCTATTCCTAGGTTTGGTATTGATCCATCAGATGGGTCGTTAGCAGTAGATATGCAGGCTTAGAAAGTTTATTCTTCTTCTTCTTCTCAGATGGTTGCTGCTACAAAGCAGCCACAGGTTCCACAAGTTGTGCTGCAGGCGGCAGTGCAGAATGGTGGGAAGGACCCATGGGTTCCAAATGCGGCGTTAGCACAGACGGAACCCTTCAACAGAGATAGGAAGGACAAGGACCTCAACGTTTGGTGGAGGCAGGTGCCGACGCACGTTAGGAGCGAAGACAGACGTTAGAGGAACGAGGAAATCGTTGCAGCAGCAAGGTGGTTAGAAGGTTTAGTACAGCATGATGGACACGGCCGGGCTTTGACTATAGGACTGATGTCTGGTGTCTTAGTCTACGGGTCCTAGAGATGCAGTATGGGACCCTTGTTCTCATGACTACCCACATGAGGTTCTTGAAGTAGAGAAATGGGTAGTTAGTGAAACGACCCGGGATGTCCACGATTTCTGTTCCTACAGTAAGATGGCCTTGGATGTAGAGGCCAAGCTTAGTAATGCGAGTCAGAGTCCAGGCGAAGGGAGGAAGAAGAAGCTACCCCAGGATAAAAAAATTGAAAGGGGACGTCCTACTCTACATAGTTTCTGATAGGAATTAGGGAGAGGTACAGGGAGTCTACGATCCCGGGGGATAGACAGAGAAGACGGCGGCCAGAGGACTTCCGAGGGAGGAGAGTTGGTCGCCTCAAACAAGCCTGAGGAGATTGGCATGCAACGAAGCAACCAGTCCGGGAGTAAAAGAAGGAACATTCTTCTTTACCCATAAGGGTAATTAAAGAAGGGTCTTGCAGGGCATGTGTGGAGAGACCTACTTGTGAGAGACGCCTGCAAAGGGTGTGGCTTGTACGGCCATACTAAGGGGCGGTGTCAAAACAAGATGGTCACCACGATGGTGCAACCTCAAGTAGAGAAGGTCGCATCTTCAACCCAGGAAAGCACTGCGAGCAGTTCCCAGGAGACACACATCCGGCCCGTAGAAGTTGTAACCACTTCTGCGCATGTTGAGTTGGTAGACGTTCCCTCACCATCTCAAATGGTGGCCGAGGTTACTAACTCCTTAGTCACCCCACAGGCACATCTGGACCACATGATACTCTATTCATGGGTTGTGTCTGAGTCCTTAGAGAAGCTAGATGAGAAGTGGTCTAAAGAAGACCTGCTAGCCTTCAAGGTGGCGACAGTTAAAGGTCCTAGAGGTGTGGTAGATGTCTGTGGACATGGTCTCAAGAATGAGGCACTCGCAGGTACGGACTCTACTGGGAGTACACTAGTGTTTTTGTGCGGAAGTTGTGCATGTGGGACCAAGTGCAGCGGCTGCAGAGATCTGTAGAGTCAGCCGCAGCCAACACAAAGCCAACAGTGTGTCGCGGCTACACGATAAATGTAGTCGGTACTCCTTGCTAAGGGGGAAGGCGAATGCAGACAATGGTCTCATTGTCGATAAGTGACAAACTTCCCATTACGCATTGCTAGGATGTACCACTTCGAGGTTGGAGTCTTCCTACGTGGAGAGAGAGAACCAAGGGGTGGGAAATCTATCTTGTCTCTAAATCTCGGAGGGGCAGGCCTAGGAAGACCTCTTTTGAGAGAGAAAATGTTGTCGCTAAGTATCCAGATCGTCTTAGAAAAGGCCAGGAATCATAGACAGGGAGGTTTTCCAAGAGATAGTGATCAATTCTTCTCATGAAGGAAAGACCTATAGGATGACTTTTATGTTGTGAGATGATGAATGGCGAACCAAACGACGGAGAGATGGATAGGACCATATACGTTTTCTGATGGATTATCATATTTATTAATATTTAAGTAACAAAATGGGGACGTGAATTCCGAGGATATTAAAAATAAAGAATATAAGATTTAATAATTGTTATGATCCTGGCCAATTTCGAGATACACATCCATCAGATAGTACAATGCCGCCCAATTGCAGAAAGAAATGAATGAACTTGAGAGGAGAGAGAGGATTAGAAAAAGAAGAAGAAGTAAGAAAGAAGAAGAAGATGATGTACAAATGACAAGGCTCTTCTTCTTCGCCCAACAATCTCCTCCTCCTTATCTCCCCCTTCTCTTATTCATACAAGAAATAATAATACAATGTTGAATGGCTGATCCAGAATCAATGTCCGAGTTCCTCTTCTACTGCCGGCATCACTTGAGGTCCMCCATAGCCATGGCCGCCTCCTCCTCCYTTCCTCATCATAGGCCGAGGCTATGGCGGACTACTAGGCCTTGCCCAGATGCCCAAAGGACAACCCAAAGCAGCTATGGCTGCTTCACTCAGGCCGCCATGCCCAACTCTGCCTCAAAGCTTCTTGGTGTAGCTCTCCCCAGTTTGGGACTCCCTGCTGCAGCGCCCACCAAGGTGATGAAGATGGCTGCCACCATAGCCAGGTAAGTACCCCTGGCGCTCCTCCCCCTTCCTGTCCTTCTTCCTCCTCCGTGTCCTTCTCCTTCCCCCAGAAGCGCTGCTCTTGGATAGCGCTGCTCCAATCGGTGCTCCAACCAGTGTGTCGCCAAACTTGCACACCGAGAAAGAGGCCGGGCTCCGCGCGGCTGGGAGATATAGCAGCCTGCTTGCCTCTTCGGGTGGTGACTTCCAGGCCGCTCGGCCTTCCAAGCAACCGGTACCTCCTCCCTTTCGGAGGGAAACATCATTGCAGACTCTGATATTGGCCGTACAGGCCCTAGACCCAGACTGGTTGGACTGGTATCCGCCTAAACCTAACCTACAACTACGGGGCCTCTAAAAATGCCACTTTTGTCTTCTTCTGCCCGACCTCCAGTACCCGCACATCCACCTCTTGAGGGTGTGGTACCGGCCTACCTGCTACTTGAGTGTTTCTCCTGCTGCAATCCCTCAATGTCACGGCCAAAAGTAAGTACCGGCCCTGAGGGCCCAATGAACGAGCAAGTGCCCCTTGCGGGCCACACACACACTCAAGCCAACCAGCACTCAGACAGACATGCAGTCCAGCAAGCGTGCACCCATAGACTTAGTAGCAGGCGGGAAACTCAACAGGGCATTCAGTCTATGGGAAAAACTCATAAATCAGTCGTGTGTTTCAGTCCATGTTTGGGCGGGTCATCACACTACCCCCTTCTCAAGAGCGAGGTCCCTTCGAGCGAGTAACTCATTCTGAGTCCTCGACAAACGCATCGTAAGCAAGCAAGGCAAAGAGGTTCCTAGAATATGCCATCGCAGTAAGCCTTGCGGAGATCTTAGGAGTAGCGTTAGCTGCAATTTGTCACTCGTAGGCTTTAACAACGCGTGGTGCGCCACGTAGCAGTTCCTGCTTGGAAATCCAGTACAGATCGTCCAACGGGTGATACATGAAGTGAACCTGGTACTATCTGTTGCGTCCCTTTCCTACGTGCTGTTTAATTCTGTCTGTCTCATGCCCGCCTTTGATTGCACGAGGGATCATGTCTTTGCGATAATCGAATGTCTTAGCGTCACGGTGGAGGTAGAGCTTTGATGCATGGAACACGGGGTATGTGCGCAGATGGGCTGGCACATCAACTACGTACGAAGGGCCAACGTGGTCTTCGCCAATCACATCCAAAACTTCCCACGGACCATAGTAGAGTGGGAGAAGTTTGTGAGAGACTCCCTCTTCTTCGAAAAATTCAGACATCTTGACCCAGACATAGCTTCGTACCTGAATATCCGACGGTCGGCGCCTTTTGTTTGCATGATGGATCATGGCGTGCTGTCGCTTGGTCATTGCTGTAATGGCAACTTTCAGCAAGCGATCATACTTGGTCATGAAGCCAGGCCTGCGGGTGTTAAGCCAGCTGGCTGTTCAGGGAATAGGTAGGAGAGCGGATTACGGATCTGCCAACCGTAATGCAACCTGTTGGGTGTCATGCCGGTGGCGGAATGGACGGAGTTGTTGTACAACCCTTTAACGGAATACATCTCTTCATCCCATGTTTCCTGATCCGGAATAATCAAGGCGCGGAGAAGTTGAAACACAGTCTGGTTGATCTCCTCAGCCAAACCATTGGCTTCGGGGTGTCGGCCAGATGTCATACACAGTCTGATCCCTAGTTGAGACGTGAAGTCCTTCCATTCAGTACAAATGAAGCGCGGATCCCGATCGCTCACAAGAGTCTTCGGGGTTTCGAACTGCAGAATGTACTTCTGTTGGAACTCACGGATCACTAGTTTTGTTGGAGCGTGAAGTGGCAAAGGAATCAGATTAAGGAACTTAGAGAATCGGTCAACAATCACCATGACTTGTGAGTAGCCGTTCTTACTCACCTTTCCCAAGTCGGTGAAGTCGATGGAGACGGACTCCCCGGAACCTTCGGGAATGGGAAGGGGTGTGAGTAGCCCCATGTGCTTTTGTCTACATGGTTTGATTCGTTGACAAACTTGACATTCAGCCACAAACTTTTCAGCGTTCCCTTCGGGAATGGGAAGGGGTGTGAGTAGCCCCATGGGCTTTTGTCTGCATGGTTTGATTCGTTGACAAACTTGACATTCAGCCACAAACTTTTCAGCAGTCCCTTTCATGTCAGGCCAATCAAACTGTCTGAGCAAATTTGCGTACATCTTTACCATACCGAAGTGTCCGCTCTGGCCATGAGCCAAATCCAGAAAATGCGTACGGAGAGGCTCATGGTTGGGCACACACAAGCGGTCGTGGTTCCCGTAGCGACGGAAAATCAGTCCTCCATATTCGTGAAAATCAGGCTGACTAGTAGGATTAGCCCGCAACCGCTCAAGGATGGGACTAAGTTCCGGATCCTTGGCTGTATGCTCTACGAACTCCTCCTTCAGTTTTTTCCGGAGGTCGTAGGATTTCACAAGGCAAGTCATGTACTTCGGGTGGCGAGACAATGCATCAGCGACTCGATTATAACAAACCTTTTTGTGTCTCAACTCAAAGTCAAAGATGTCAATTTCATGGAACCAGCGAAGTAACGTAGGGGACAAGGTAGTTTGTTCCTTGATCCACTTCAGAGTCTCATGATCTGAGAACACTTTGAAGTGGCGTCCCAAAAGATAGTGCTTCCAATTGTCCAAAGCCATACACAGAGCATAGAGCTCGCGCATGTAGGTGGAAGTGGCTACCTTTATGTTGTGTATGCATTTGCTATAGAATTCGAGCGGTCGCAAGCCATCGCCGTCATCTTGCTGCAACACTGCGCCAATTCCATACTGGCTTGCATCCGTAGTAACTACGAATGTCAGTCTGGGATCTGCAATGCAGAGTACAGGGTAACTTACCAATGCTTCTTTCAAAGCTTGAAAGGCGTCCTTGCATGTGGTGTCCCAAGAGTAGGGAACATTCTTACTTGTTAACCAGGACAACGGGCGAGCAACAATAGAGAAGCGGGGCACAAACTTACGGTAGTACGACGCGAGACCAAGGAAAGAGTGCAGTTCGCGGATGTTCGCGGGCTGAGGCCAATTGCGTATGACTTCAACCTTGGTTGCCTCAGGCTCTAGGCCTGCAACAAACACTCGATGTCCAAGATAGATGACGCTATCCTTCCCAAACTCAGATTTCTCTAGGTTGAGATGGAGTTGCGTCTTCTTGAGGATAGTGAGCATTTCCTCGAGGTGCTTGAGGTGTTCCTCCATGGATTTGTTGAAGGTTTGTATATCATCGAGGTATACCACCACGAACCGGCCAATCTGTTCGCGGAGGACCTTGTCCATGAGGCTTTGGAAGGTGGTCGGTGCGTTCGTAAGACCGAAGGGCATTACGGTAAACTCGTAAAGCCCATCTCATGTTTTGAACGCAGTCTTGTGCTGGTCCATAGGATCGACTTCAATCTGGTGGTAGCCAGACTTGAGATCGATCTTGGAAAAGACCTTGCACCCACGTGCGGCATCAAGCAAGTCATCTATGCGGGGCAATCGATAGGCGTTTTTTCTTGTGATGCGGTTTAGACCGCGATAGTCAATACACATGTGGAGCTTGCCTCATTTCTTCGGAACAAACAAAACAAGAGCACCAAATTCAGACTCACCAGGCTTGATCCACCCTTTGTCAATCATTTCGTCAATTTGTCGCCGGAGTTCCTCCAACTCGCCGGGTCCCATTCGGTATACGCAGCCCTTTGGAGGAACAACACCCTCGACCAACTCGATGGTGTGTCGGACCGATCGCGTGGGGACTCCACGTGGCTCGGCCAGAACTTCTGGGAATCGATCGAGTAGGTTTTGGATGTTTGGTGGAATCGGTGGAGGTGGAGGATCAGCAAAGGGATCACCTAGATCGGGTCGCAGGTTGCGAATAGAGGCGACCGAATCTAAAGTGGGATCATTTGGACTAGTAGAAGGTAGAGAAGTAGAGGTGCTAGAAGTAGAGGTGCTAGAAGTAGAGGTGCTAGAAGTAGAAGTACTAGAAATAGAATCACTAGCCGAAGTAGTAGTGGTATCAACCACAAAAGTAGATGGCACATGGGTAGGACGAACAAAGGCAACATACAACTGTTTGTCCTCTTTGTGCTTGCGCCATTTCTTGCAAAACTTCATAGCATTCAGAAAAGTCACTGGGGACTCGTGCTTCTCATCCAGGGGGAGGGGAAACTCATTCCCTTAAGCATCTTGGACCATGAAAAGTGACTCCTTCCACTTGGTCCATTCGCATTGGGACTGCAGCCAGCCCAAGCCAAGGACAGCGTCGAAGGGGCACTTGTCAAGGACAGAGAAGTTCAACGCGTGTATGACAGTTTTGTCCTTGTCAAAGGTAGTGCGCACACCTTTGACTGCATGCGTAGAAGAGACAACTTCTTTGTTGCCAACTTGGGTTTGGCAAGGGTTCTGCAAGGCCACTTGCTTCATTCCCAAGCCCACTTTGCGTATCCCATGAGGTAGTGGAAGTCGACCGTCCCAGACTCCTCCCAAGGCTCGACATACAAGATATTATAGACTTCAGCCTTGGCTTCAGCAGATGATTGGGCTTCAAGGGAGGACTGCTGATTTGCATCAGATTCAGTCTCCCTTGCTGTAGAGTGTGTTGAAATCGACTCTACGCCCGGTCTGGTTTCCCGACAGCCTATAGCAATCCTGTACCTTATGGTTCGGTTTCTGGCAATGCAGGCATACCCCCTTCTTGAGTCTTCCCTCCCAATCATTTTCAGTGATCCGGGGATTGACCCACGGTTTAGTGGCCGCATCCTCCGGTTTTGCTGGGATTTTGACTCTCTTGGGAAGTTGGACATAGTTCTTCCCTGCATTCCGATTCGGTCCCTTTGTATTGGCAGTCTTTTTAAAGGCAGTGAATTTTTCTTCTTCTTGGTTTGCGTCAGACTCATGGCCTGACGAACAGGTTGTATCAGTGCCCCTGTTCTTGATCGTCACCAAGAGTGGGGTCATCTGCATCGGCCTCTTCTTCAGCCTTCAACAGGTCATGCACAACAAAACGGCTGCTGCCTTTGAACCGCCTACCGCCCATGGGCTTTTTGTTGCCTGCTGTGGAAACGAGGTCTATAACCTCAAGACTGACTATATCCTTCATAGGAGTGAACCAGTCAGTGTACCCAATGAAGTCCTTGCCAAGGCGATTAGTGAAACTGGTGGGAACCACGCCTTTGACCACATCCAAGCAAGATTGGTCAGTCAGTTCTAACCCGGGTGTAGCAAACATCTTGCTAAGGTAGGTCTGCAAGCTTTTCATGGAGCCCGTCCGCTTGCTGTGTTTAATTTTATCAAGCTGGCTTCTTGCCCTTGGTGCAGCGTGTGGATCCATATATTGGGGAATGAGGAGTTCCTCTAGGGAGGCAACCGGGGTGGCCTTAAGCCACCTTGTCAATTCTATTTTAGGAACCCCAGCTCGCGTAGCTTGGACCTCTAGGAAGCCCTGTACAACAGGCTCGACATTCATTCCCATGATCACGGACAAGGTCTCAGGTTGAGTCCCCAGAACCTCAAAGTATGCCCTCATGGAGCTGATCCAGGATTCAACGTCTTCTTTGCCGTCATACTTAGACGGTATTTGCACCGCCTTTCGATCCACATAGGGAYCGGCGYGGCTGGGACCAGYACCTGCTGGTTCARATCTTGGGGMTGCARCAGTTGCARAATTTCYTGCCTCGTTGCTTGKTACGGCAAYARCGGAATCTRCACYTGTTGCAGGTCCCGAGGGGTTCGCCATCACACTCAAGGAAGAAGTAGAAGAAGATACGGTAAAAGGGGCAGAGTTAGTTTCAATTGCAGCTCCGGAACCAGGGGGTAGAGGAAGAGGATTGGCCGCTTGGGCTTGTCGCAGCGCAGCAACCTCTATCGTCAAGTCACGGAACTTGCTGGTCATCTCAGTCAGATCCTCCTGAAGTGTCCGCAATTTTGTGAAGACGTCGACGATCTGAGTGGTATGATCTTCAAGGCTCCGGACTCTGACGATAACGGTGAGTATGGACTGCAGTTGTTCCCCACACTGCTCTTTGGTCAGCGAGGGGACAGTTTCCAAGATGGCCTCCTGACTTTTCAACAACAATTCCTTCCTCTCCTTCTCTGTCTCTTGTTCCTTTTTAACGACACTATCTAAGAGTACTTGCAGATACGGTTTTTCCGCATCACTGGTTGCATCTAACAGGGTCTTCCACTAGACTGAGGTTAGCTGTGGCTGGGCCATTTTCGGACCGTTGTCGTCGGCAAGTGGATCGGAGAGACGCCAATCAGCAAAAGAATCAATCAGACTCTCAAGAGGTGCACTCCCCTTTTCGCTTGGACGAACACTCTGTTTCCCAGTCCTTGCCCACCCCAGACGGTCGATTTCCCTCTCTTCCTTTTCTCTCTCCCTCCTCTCTCTCTCTTCTTTCTGGTTGCGAGTCTCCACAGGCATCGGAAATGAACTTAGAGAAACAGACTGAAAAACTCAGAGAAGAGAAGGTAGAACTCCTAGCCAGAGCGACATTTCATTTGGACTTAGAGAGCAACAAACCAAAAAAAAGCAAACAAATTCACATGAGAGGTCTGATGCAGCGACCCAGTCTGATCAGACTGCATACGAGGTCCTCTCGAGTCCAGTCTGACCAGCTCCGTGACTGTGCAGCAAATCAGACAACGAGTGACTAAATGCAACAATGGAGAATTGAGTGGTGTGCAGGGTGCGAGTCAAGCCACGGACGGTGCAACCAAAAGCATGCGAAACGTCTCAGCCAAGATCCCCTCGGTAGTGGGTGTCCTAACCAACAAGAATAAAACTCCGGATCTTATTCAGGAAGACAATGGATTAATTCCAAATTGATTTGGGCCCAAAGGGCTCTTCTTGTTTGGGCCCGATCCCACTGGGTCCCAAAGGTCCCACGTAGGCTGCGACCAGGTCCCAACCAAGAGGAGTCCCACATGGACTCAGTTCAGTTCCTACTGCACCGAAAAATGAAATTTCAACTTCCGGCAGAACTTATAGACTACAACCGTTCAGAGATGAAAAGACAAAGCACTGTAGAAAGACTCGCCATTCGGATCAAGATACTTCATTTTCCATCCATCCGGTGAGTAGGTAGATCACACACATTCAATCACGCAATCAAGACCATAGAGGAGTAGGAAAAGAAACCCAGAGTAGCCCCAGTAGGACAAACCATACCACGCTCACATACATGGGCATGCCGTAGGTGCACGACACTTACCTGAGTGGCCTTGAGATTCGAGATGAATAGAACTCACCTCCCTCTCATGTGATCCTCCTGACCCCTCTAACGCTACCCCTACACTAGTGTCCTATCTGCTAGGAGGGTCTGACTCCAACACCCAAGTGCAACACCGGATCCCTCGTCGATGCTGAAGAACAAAGTAGCAACTTGCAGTCAGTAGATGCTGAGTGGCCGCTGACCCTCAAGCTCGCCTACTTGAGGGCAGCCCTTAAGTTGCCAAGTGTCTCCCTTGAATCAGGTTCCAGGTGCGATGGCCTCTCACTGTCGCCTCTCTCAAATTGCCGCATGAAGTCTCCTCGAAATGTCTCGCCACCCTAAACTCACTCTCAAGCAACCTGGTTAGGTTCAATGTCGACCCCACATGACCTAACCAGGTGGGGCCAGCTTCCCTTAGCCGCACTGCCCCACTTCCCTTAACCAACCAACCCTAACCCTAAGTGTTGCCCTCAACCACTTAGGTTAGGGTTAGGGCAGCAAAGTCAACTCTCACCAGCAAGTAGAATCCGCTCTGATACCAATGTTATGATCCTGGCCAATTTCGAGATACACATCCATCAGATAGTACAATGCCGCCCAATTGCAGAAAGAAATGAATGAACTTGAGAGGAGAGAG